GTCTTATAGTCGGAAAAATACGGTATTAATCTTTATTACAGTCATAGGTCACCATAAGGCCTGGAACGTATAATTGGGGTCTTTTTCCAGTTGGGTCTTTTTCCATATATCTGCATGAGTTCTCGCGTACCTCTTTGCAAAGAACTACAAGTATAACACTTGTTACTTTCCCCCCTTAATTGTTACTTGGTGTGAATTGTCTAGACCAGAAACTGCTTCTAGTCTAAGCTATCTGGGAGGTATTATGAGTAGTTCTTGGGTTTTGACCACTCATTCAGCGACTGTTCAAAGTTACAATGGCGCTGAAAGAGGGGGACTTATGACCGGTCCTCAGAGTTCTGGCTGTTGTAGCATCCCCGCGGTCACATCATTGCGATCCAGGTGCTTGGGTGCCCAGCTCGCGATTATGACGTTGCAGCAAGGCGTGGTCATGTGATCACCATCTGCAACTTTCCCTGCCGGCTTCCCGCAAGCAACCCCCCCCAAAAGTCCCCCCTGCCACTTTTTCTCCCAAGGGACCCCCGCTACAGAGTATGAAATACCAGAAATCTTGTACTCCCTAGCACCCATCTGCCCACTCACACTTTGTAGTGGCACCCACTGGGCTGCCCACGCTCAGTAGCGCCCGCCTGCTATCCCTGCTGATCGGCCTATGCTCAGTAGCACCCACCCACAGCCTCTACCAGCCCACCCACGCTCAGTAGCACCCACCCACAGGACGCACCCACCAGCCCACAGCTCTTGCCCACCGGCCTGCTTGCCTAGGACTCTGGTCATGTGAGGTCTTCTCTTAACAACCCACACAGTCTCTGAGTTATGACGGCAACCCGGACTGCTGGGATTACTGTTGCTAAGTGATGTGGTCACGTGACATTGTGCTTTGCAACCGCATTGCTTAGCAATGGAAATTCTGGTCCAAATTGCTGTCATAACCCAAGGACGTCTTGTACTTACTTTAGTCCCCAAAACTTGATCTGCAGTAACTGTTACATTAGTGAGATGCTACAAAGTTCTTTTGTTTTGTTGTGCTCCTTCCCCACAGGGAAAAAGCAGAAGGCGTACAGGGAACCGTGGCAGAAACATCTGGAGCGCTAAATAGTGCAAAGGACAAAGTGAAGGCAGCCGAGCAGGCCCTGAAAAAGACAAAGGAAGCCATCCAGAATGTGGAAGGCAAAGTCAGACAGGTGAAGTGCAGAAGGCCAGCCGGTAGCCAGCCGGTTTGTATTTCTTGGAAGGGAGGAGTTGTGGGTAGTCAAGACTCTGGATAGCTTTTAAGACATCCTGCGTTCTCAGTGGGCAGCTCCAGAGTATGTTCTGTGCCTGGCCTTTCATTCTGCCCTTCCATGAATCTGCAGGTAAGACTCAAATTCAGCTCCTCCTGATACCATTTTCTTGTTAATAATGTAGAACAAGTTTGCCTTCTCTTGGGACATGTATTTGTATTCCCAGACTAACTTATAGCCCTGGTATTCTCTTGACATCTCCCGTCCAAGTATTAACCAGATCCAGCTGAGCTTTTGGATTCTGTTATGGTGGTGATGAGGGAGACCTGAAAGAACAGGTTAGAGATCCTGGAGCAAATCTATCTATATGGTCACTAGGAGTTGAAAACGACTTGATGGCACATAATCAATCAATCAATCAATCAATCAACCTACCGTTGCTTTTCAAGATCACCCAAGACTGGCATTTGAGAAAACTACCTGTAATGCCTCCAATAAGGATCGCTCTTTAATTTCTCCCCAAAGTTGAAAATGTAATGGATATTTCCTGATAGCAAATTAAACTCTTTAATTAGGCCTGTGGATCATGATACTATGAAGGTTTAGTTAACAG